ATAGCAAACATTTTCAGGTTCGACTTGTGAAATCAAGATATTTAACCGCGAGAAAGCTAGCGGCAAAAGAATAAAATTGTGAGAGCAAAAATTACTTGTCTGAGTAATGCCCTGCTTTTATTAACATCTAAAAATATTGCCGAGTGAAGTGAGCACGTCCATGATGAAACCAACGAAATTACCTGTGACGTTTCGAAGGTAGAATATAACGCTACATTATTTATCTCAGTTATTTCAGGAAAATGGATGCTTAAAAATCAAAGTGATATTTATTTATAAGGTTGTATCAAAACAGTGAATTGTAGACAATGTATTTAGGGATTATCTACTCTTAATCTTCTTAATCGCGTTGAATATCTCGACTCTATTATTCCTTTTGTCTTTGAGAATTATGCTCCATCAAAAGATGGGTATTGTAACTTTGTTCCGAAAGTAATTGTGTAAAAGCCGAGCCTTAGCTGAGTCACGTGGCTAGATACTTCCGCCTCATAAGTTTTAATGATGGCTGATATTATTCTAAAGATGATCACCTGCATGCAAATTATGATCGTCTTTATACAGTAATTTAAATTTTATTCAAAATTTTCATTCGAGGGGTGCGCTCAAATTTCTGTAGAAAAAAGTAGGAAGTTGAAATATCTCTTTGGTTGGAGATAAATTAATTTTGTTTTTAATGCTCCGTCTTTTTTAAGGTAGCCGAGTGTCCACTTAAATCCGGTCTAAGGTTACTTCGTATTCTAATGTTTTTTCTTTAATTTATACCGGACTAAGTTTAGGAAACGCAATTTAATGTACATACACACTGAAATTATTTTTGTATGACAGTATATATATGAAGTAATCCAGGACTTTTGTGTTTGATTACGAAAGTATTGTTACTGTGCTGGAAAAAACTTGCAGTTAACAGTCATACTATTATTAAGGCTATTAAAGGAGGCACTTTTAAAACGAATAACACATGAATCAATCTTTCGCACGAAAAAAGGGACCATATTGCGTTTATAGTTAAATTAATTTGAACTTCGATAAGTGTCGATTAAAAACATACGGGAACAATTGAAAAGGCTACACTATAAATAAATGTTATTGTGAAACTCGATGCTATGAATAATTCACGTGGGAAAGGTTACAACCACCGAACAACTGTAACAACCGGCGATTCCTAACAAAAACTTTACAGTTTTACCTCGATACAATTGTTTTATACTTAGTTAACAATTGCTAAACGGTTATAAATGGCAGTTCTATTTATTAGGAACTCGAACTGATAACATAACATAATCTGTCAAAGGCCGAATGTGGTAGCCCTAAGATTATGGGTATTTTCGAAATGGTACGACCTTCAAACCTTCAAAGAGAAGCTCTAAAAAGGCTAGCAACACGCCTGTGACTTCTCTAATGTTGCGAACGTCCATGGGTACTGCTGATCCCTTTTTATCAGGTGATCAGAGTGCTCGTTTGCCTTCTATTCCGTAAAAAAGTGAGCTGATTCCCAAGTATGTGGCAGGGCCTCAATCAAATCATCCACATTTAACTAATTATTTTATGAACTCATGTATCTATATATCTATAAGTTAGGCTAATATATTTTAGAAAACAAAAATACTTCAATAGTTCCTTGTCCAGCTAAAGAGAAACCATTCTGAAACCATTTGCTGTACCGTCACCCTTGGAACCATAGGACCAACGAAGCAAAGCACTTTATTATTTAATTGAAAGAGATATTGTAAATTCATATTTCGTTATAAATATTCTCAAAAAACATTGATGTTTAAAAATGTATTTAAGCGCGTGAATAATATATGTTAATTCACCGGAAAAAGAAAAACAGTACATTTAGGTACTCATACCTAACCTTTCGAAAGATACTCCGAAGGTCCCGAGACATTTGTTGAAACAAAAATCTATATTATTGTTACATTAGGAAAAAAATGATAGACATACATGTTCAGATACCGGTAAATTACTTAATTCCTTAAAATTACTTTCAGAGTGAACTACTGAACGCGTAAATATACATCAAGGCTATATCGAATTACGACCCTGAAAACTACCAATAATAGTACATAGGTATATCGCACTATCTTAAATCCTTTACACGCGTCTCCGCGTGTGTTTGGAGGTACTACATTTAATAAAAGCGTGGGGTACTTAGGATTTGGAATACGTATACAATACATGTTGGTAATCCCTCTGAAGCTGACTGCCGATCCGAGCATGAATTGCTCTGTCGCTATGATAAACCTTTTGTTCTCTGTGACGACTTTTTAGAATTGTTATCGAGTCTATTGTGACGGTAATGAACGACAATTCGCAGAAACTGCTCCAACATTGCGCGGAGATAAGTAGTCGACTTCCGAGGTGAATATTGACAACAATTATAACTTGTGTTAGGTAGCTCCTATTTTAACTAAATTCGCGAAATTTAGGGCAAACCGTATCAAGTGTTTGCCCCTATTTCTAAGAAGATTAGATACTTACCAAGTCAATGTAATGTTTACAAAGTTTACACAAATAAATGGCTTTATAAGAAGCTACTAAATTTAATATAAAACCATTTAAACTATTATATAAAACAAGGATATGAAATATTGAGGTCTGAGTCCGAATTTAGAAAACTATAAGGGTATGTTATAAATATTGATAAAACATCGGCCATTTAAGAGGTTGTGGTATTGTGTACATTGCGCACGATAACATAAGACAAAGCGGCCAGCCCCGAACAATGTGAAAAGTCAGCTACACTGTGGGTTATTGGAGTGAACCATAACTCAGTTGAAGGGTAGATAACTGCCGGCGGTAAATATACTCGCGGGCCTGATACCGGTGCGGCGATACAAATGAAATAATCTTTGACAAACTTCTACTGTTTTTCATTTCTTGCCAGGCCTTTACGCACACCTAGGGACAAGATAAAGTACTATTCCCAAATAAATTATTCTTTTGTACATAATACATTCGCAATTGTTAACCTTGTTTCATTTTAGTAAAATTCCAACAACAATAACACGCCAAAATCGCGTAACTAATAACACTGCGTGCCGTCAAGAGATATCTAGTTGACAAAAACATCGTCTCCGATAACCTCTCAGTCCGTGGCAAACTAATACCATTATCACTGATACGAAATAGGAGGCAGGCCACTCAAACGACTCGATTGTACGTCCCGGGAGGGTAGTGCTGAGAGGCCGGCGGCGCGGCGCGACACAAAGGGCATGTGTACTAGCAAACGACGCAACAGTCGCGGGAGTGAGACGTGCCTCGCATCCCACCTGACTGACCTGTCCGGGCGACGCTCGTACGACGCAGTGCCGCTCTTAAAGGAGATTAGATCCCCTTTGCCTTTTCACAGCGCTAGATAAGTATCTCCGACAGAACACGCTCTGGCTAGTCAAGACTTTACCAACATGAAATTCAATTACGGCAATTATTCGCCATTATAAGAGTACTGTGCCGTTTATAAATGCATTCCGTTTATTAGGAATTCCACTTGCGTAAACATACAGAAGCGACGCAAAGGTAGACTAATTAAATTTTCATAATACCTCAAACATTCTGCTCGGGTTAACTAAATTAACTTGTCCATGACACCTTCACCGCATACTGTGAGAATTTTACTTCTTACCGCACTTTTTGGAGGAGTGAAGTTTAATTCATCGAGAAAAAGTTATAGAGATTAAACTACATAAATTTCGGCAAGAATACGCGAAGAGCTTACCATCGGACCCGACCTATCAAATAAATCCTAACGAAAGTATTTAGGGTATAAAACTACTTCAGAGTAAGACGGACTAAACCTACTCGTAACTTATTCAAATGACATGTGGATGGGATAATGTACAAAAATATCGCTCCACGCTCCGCGATAAGCCTATTTTATAGATACCCTTCCAATTTTTATATCCCTTCCGAGAACGTGTTTATCCTATACAAAATAAATATGAGAAGCAAGAAATACCAAACTGATTTCACTAAGGATCATAATGCTATTTACAGAAAACGCTATTGTCTAAAATATGTTATCAGACACACAAATGTAGAGTACATGTATATTACGTTTAAATAAATTTACCATTTAAGCAGATGGAAGGCGAACCTATCGTACAAAAACAAGTTGATGAAAAAAATACATTTTCGATAAAGCAAAGATTTGGGATCAATAACAAACTCAATTTTCAAATGGAAAGAGCTCACAACCAAGGACTAGATAATAAAAAGGAATACGGCCGAAGCTCAATGGAAGAAGTCCTTTTTTATCAAAACTTCAACCAAGTCCCGCAGTTCGATTGAACTTGGAATTCAATGAAATACGCTCATTATTAGAAGATTGCACTTTGTAAACCCATTCTAGTCACAGAGACATGATTAAACAAATGGAAATCGAAAATAATTCACAAGGCAACAAACCCTACTCGCAGATTCAAAATATTCCATTATATTTTAAAATAGCCTCTCCAATTATTAAAATAGCAAATAAAAAACGAACCAGACGTTTCAATGAGATTTTCTTATTTGCATGAATGAAAAGAGAAAATGTTGTTGTGGTACCTCTTTTAATTAGATCTTAGCATTTTCTTATGTAGAAACCTGATTATTAAGATCTGACAGTAAAACTTTTACAACTTTCAATTAGTACCGAAGACCAATATCCAAGTAGAACGGAAAAGTAAAGAATCATAATTCTGTAATGTCTAACCCAAATAATAAAAGTGGGCTTTCTTTTCAGCCGGGTCTGAACGATATTCATGATGGTGGTGTTTTAGAGCAATTCTTATAACGAAGGCTATGACTTATTCATGTTCTGGAAGGTAGACGCAATAAGTTCGAAGACTTCAGATGGCGAGCTGTATAATAAACGAGACAATAACGAAGGCAGAGTGTCCTGACGACGCGCGACTGATCACAGGGAGGCCGAGGCCTACACATCTATACCCCAAGCAAACAATGAGGGGAAACGAAACAAACACATACCATAACAAACAATTATTGTATTTTCGTTTTTAAGTACTAGTCTCATTGGTTGATGTGGCTATTGGTGTGTGAATCTGCCACACATTATTGGGTAACTCTCGTCCATAAACATCGAGGCATGTTTTCAACATGGGGGCGCAAACCTGTAATTAAAATCAAAACCATACAATTAATTTTGAATAACGCTTTTCATGTCAAACGCAAAACTGGCATCTATACTAACTTTTCCAAAGAATCCCAAAGCCCAATGGCCCAGATTTATTCCTAAATTACGATTCGTAGAACAATGATTTATCACAACATCTTGATTGACCTGCAAATGAAAACAATATTTTATAATTATTTCATGAGATGGGGCCCAGCACCGCCGACAGAGGGTTGCTAATGCTGGTTGTACTGGGGCCGTGGTCTAGGGGAGAAAAAAGGGGTAGTTTTAGACAGTTAGTGTTTTACACTCTCTCTCTCTCTCTCGATCCAGGGCGGGAAAATTCATTCAGATCATTTTCCAACCTTTCTTTTGTGATATTTAATATTTGAAATACTACATTGAGCAACCGCTTAATGATAAAAGACGTAATTTTAACAGCATAACGTAAACGCATAATAAACGTAATCTGTACAAAATGTTATTTAATAAGGCCATACAAGCACAGGTGTCCCTTCCTGCTCGAAGCGCGTGATGTCGGGCCGCTGTACCGGCAACACCCTCCACCGGGTATTAGCGACGTTGTACTTGCTGAGGTAGAGTGGGAACAAGCCGCAGAGGCCCGGCACTGGATCCGGATCATACCTTACGTATAACGGCTGAAACACAACGCACCTTTCACAAAAACCTGCGGATCAGGTATATAAAAAGGGACAGAAGCTTATTGACATGAATGGAATTTTCGTCCCTAACAAAATGTATGGTCTCTTTTCAAGATTAAATTTTTCCGCATCCTAGCAATTTTGTTTTCCTTGTGTTTTGTTAGTCTGTGTTCTCTGTATTATTGGATAAGCTGATTTTGATTGGGTAGATGCGTTCGTCATAAACATTTCTTTTGGATAAATTGATGAATATTTCTTGACAAAGGATTCTTTCTCTCACTCTCACAAAAATTGTAACCATTTGAAATCTTTTAAGAAATATAAATGCGGTAGATATATCATATCCTACTGTCCTGAACTGATAACAAACAGGATAAATATTTATCGGCAAAAACCAACCTCTTTTCTATTTTGGGATGACGAAAGAGTCAAAAGGAATTCTTGATTATACTTCAGGGGTTCACCAGTCCGATCGCAATAATCAGAACTCGTAATTGTGAATGAATTACACAGAGCTGGTTCTCTGTACGGTAGTCCGATGATAGTACAACCATCTTCAAGTTGTTGGGAGTATGTGATGTCATTTGAAGTCAAATGGCCGCCTAAGAGAAGACCTAATTTACCTTCAACGGGAGGATCGCTCGCTGTAAACCAATAATGCAAATATTAACAGTTTTCTACTTTGTAAGTACCTAACAAAATTACTTCTAAGAAGATACCAGATAGTCTCTGTCTCATCAATACAACAGTTTTAAAAGTAAATTCTAAGCACGAGATCGCAAAAGCGTTCGTCAGAAATTTGTCTGGCTATTTTCTGGAAAATTAAATATTTTGGTCAGAGAACGTTTAAGGTCGATTATCAGTCATGTTAACTGAAATTGGCAAAATTTATTTCGTAACGTAAGAACTCCTACTCAGAGGATAGGTCAAGTATTGTCGCACCGACCTACTGCAAGCTACCAAATTATCTTATCTTCGATTATCAGATCGGATAGATATGAGATTTTCAGCTTACAATCAGGCTCAATCCCAATCTCTCCCCATCCCTTCCCTTTCCTTAAATATCTTAAATGTAGGGGACATTACAATTATGTCAGACTATAGAGAAAAATAAAAACAGGAACAATTAATTGATAAGTATGAAATTACATGGCACGTGTGGAGCATAAAGCGATATTTTGGATCCAAAAGAGATACTTCCCGAAGACTGAGTGAGAATCGTCGGCGAATTCAGATTTTCTGACATCTTCCGAAATCGAGCGAGCATCAGTCCACCTTTTTTCATTTGATCCAAGAATATATTGAGTTTGTACTACAGAAATTATAAAAGAGGTTAATGTTTTTTGAAAAACTGTCATTAGGAAGCAACTTACTCTAAATTAATTGAAATATGAATGTAATCAGTAGCACTTTTCTTTAATAGATCACGTGACCAAGGACCTAATGTTTTTTAAATGTTTTGGTTGATTCTAATTTAAAAAATAATTTTAATACTGTATATTTCAACTAAATTAGATAGAGATTTGTAAATCTCGATGTAGCTTCTGTTCTGTCTGTTTCTAGGAGATTGACATACATTAATGTAAGTGCTAAAATAGTTTTATAAATTCAGCTACAATCTTAAGTATTTTACTGGGTAACATACTGCAACGAGTTTGTAAGGTTCCTGTGGCAAGAAAAGTTACAAACTCAATTATATAGGTATATAATATTTATATGAACTGCACTCGTAACTCTTTGGTTTTAAGGATATTGGCGCCCCTAAGACTGACCGTGTCGACTGCTCACCGACAGGTGATCTACTCGAATGCCATATGCCATCCTATCTCATAAAAATTCATTTCTATATATCTACATATTTACAAAGAAGTATTTACCTCCTCCAATGTAGCAGCCTCAAACCAATTACCGAGGCGTACTCGATTTGAATAAACAATACCCTTATCGTCATCTCTATACTTAATATTTTTCCCAAACATTTTGTAAATAAATAAACAATTAATTCAAACACAAGCAAAACATCAAACGATCTTTCAAAAGATTAATAGAGGCCAAAGACAATACGTGGGCTGTGAGTGATAGATGTGTCATAGACAAAGAAGGAATAAATGAGGTTCCATAATTCAAGGGAGTGAACCTAAAAAAATGTTCGTAGGCAAAAATATGTGCGTGGATAGGATGAATAGGATACACATATGGATTATAAGTACCTAAGTATAAATACCTATCTTAAACTACGGAATACTACGTAGCGCCTTCTACAATTGTTTATTTCTAAGGACCAAATCAGCATATATATGTGTACTTACAGGTGGTACGTTAATTATTTATATTGATAAGAGACGTGTGCCTTTTTAACTCATTCTGTGTTTAAGTACTTCTGTGCATTGCAGAAAAGTCAGCAGATGCCAACGCCATTAAGTCAAATGTACAAAAACATGTGCATAAAGCCTTATTAAATAAATAAATAAATAAAGAGCACACTTAACCATTCCTTACATTAACGCGTTCCAACGAAAAAAACTTTAGCCTTTTTACATTACAGATTTGCATATACTTACTTACTTCGTAAAATCAAAGACAGTAACGCCCTCCATCAACATGTTATCACATCATAAGCTACGGCAGGTGGTAACCGCTAAAGATCCTAAGTTGCCTACACTTGCTACCTTCCACAGACGCCTTTACTAAGCCAAGGATGCCGTAAGAATTCGGAACTCAAAGGAGGAATGACAACAATGCCAAAGCGGTTCGGTGTTAGCTAGGTACCTAATAAAATTTGTCAAAACTATATCTATACTAATATTATAAAGAGGTAAAATTTGTAAGTTTGTATGTAGGGGGTAATCTTTGGAACCGCTGGTCCGATTTCCAAAATTCTTTCACTGCTAGATAGCTACAAAGTTCCTGAGTGCTATAGGCTATAAAACATCACGCTACGATTAAATGAAGCCGAGCAGCCGGTGAAACAGCGGGTAGCTAGTAATATTATAAAGCCGAAGAGTTCGTTTGTAAATGCAAAAGATTATTTGAGCTAGTAACTTAAATTAAAAATGTATCTTTGTATAGTTCCTTAATTGAGGAAAGCTACTTATGTACTCGTACATAAATGGTCTATACGGCCATATACTCCCCCTGCCTAAGAAACCTAATAGTGTGTAAAATAGCGGGCGGAGATTTTATAATTATTTTATTCAATATGTCAAAATTTTTTTCAACCAATATTCACAATACAAGTACAATATGTACTTACAGGTGGTACGTTGATTATTTATATTGATAAGAGACGTGTGCTTTTTTAACTCATTCTTTGTTTACTTCTGTGCGTTATAGAAAAATCAGATGCCAATGCCATTAAGTCAAATGTACAACAATGTGTGCATAAAGCCTTATTTAATAAATAAATAAATAGCACACTTAACCATTCCTTACATTAACGCGTTCCAACAAAAAAAAACTTTAGCCTTATTACATTACAAATTTGCATATACTTACTTTGTAAAATCAAAGACAGTAACGCCCTCCATCAACATGTTATCACATCATAAGCTATGGCAAGTGGTAACCGCTAAAGATCCCAAGTTGCCTACACTTGCTACCTTCCACAGACGCCTTTACTAAGCCAAGGATGCCGTAAGAATTCGGAACTCAAAGGGGGAATGACAACAATGCCAAAGCGGTTCGTTGTTAGCTAGGTACCTAATAAAATTTGTCTAAACTATATCTATACTAATATTATAAAGAGGTATTTGTAAGTTTGTATGTAGGGGGTAATCTTTGGAACCGCTGGTCCGATTTCCAAAATTCTTTCACTGCTAGATAGCTACAATGTTCCTGAGTGCTATAGGCTATAAAACATCACGCTACGAATAAATAGAGCTGAGCAGCGGGTGAAACCGCGCGAGAGTAGCTAGTAATATTATAAAGCCGTTCGTTTGTAAATACAAAAGATTATTTTTATTAGTTCCTTTATTGAGAAAAGCTACTTATGTACTCGTACATAAATGGTCTATACGGCCATATACTCCTCCTGCCTAAAAAACCTAGCAGTGAGTAAAATAGCGGGTGGAGGTGTATTAATATTTTATTCAATAATATGTCCAAATTTTTTCAACCAATATTCACAATTCAAGTGCAATTCTTACGTCTACTCAAGTGATATTGCTCCGTAACTTTTTATGAGGCACAGTATTGAAGCGAGAAAATAAAAAGAACCTACAAGAATGTATCAATATTGCCCCTGGCCCCTGACCTGGTCAGGGGCAGGGGCCATAATATTTCCCTTTCCATAATTATCATATCCACCAGTCAATAGCAACCCATACCCATAACCCTATCAATTTTTACCACATTTCGCAATAGTCCTCCATCAACCGGGGATTGTCCTTGGGTGCACTTTCATAGTGCATACAGGGATAATTGCCGGCTGATGTCCCATATCACTCATATTAAAGTTGTTCAAACGGCCTCTGCGAGTTGGCTTCGACCCCTCGTACGCCTTCCAAAAGTCCGGGACCCTGTGGTTCCGTGAGTGGAAAGATCGTACAAGATACTAATTCGTAGTACTTTTTATGAAGTCTAGTATTTATAGGGTGGAAGGGTATTAACTATACAGGTTCGAATGATCGAAGTATACAAATATATGAATTTACTCCTTCCATTTGAATTTTGTACCTTCGACGTAACTTATGACGTCATGTTTATGTAGGTAATAATCAAAGGAAGTAAATTCTTTATAATGAAGAGATATCTACTTACCTGCACACAGAGCCAATCAATATTTGCTGTACCAGCCCCCTAGCCAATACATCATCATCATCATCGATAATCGTTATCGCTCTAGTAACAAGACGAATGTAATAATGTGAGTAGGTACTGTAATACATTTGTTGGTCACGTGAATTATCAGTGACCTTAAGAAATCGCCATACACTTGTTTTGTTTCTAAAGCAATAACGGTTATCGCTACTGACCTTCGCTAGGGGGCTGATCTGCTCAATATTACTACTCCTGTCCTGCACTTAAAATAACTTTGCTATAGTAAATATGTTCATACCAGACCACAATTAATCCACACAAGTAAAGTCATCAAGCATCCAGTCCTAATTAATCAGGCCAGAACTGATTTACACTAATAATGTACCAAATTAATTAATACCGATGCACAATCGTTTGTAACAATAGCTTACATAGAAATACCTATACGCCAAATGTACAATGAAACAGTGAAGATCACGTTGCTACTTGTAATAATAATTTTCTATACCTACAATAATGTTGAGATAACCCATAAAAAGTTCAACGACCACATAAAAAATCTATTTCCGAATTATTATCTTTAGACGCAAAATTCAAATAACGTTCATTATCATTATGTAGACAAAATACTTTTTTAATTTAAATAAAACAACTACAAGATTAAAAAAGGTTATAAGAATAATTTAAAACAATATTTCGTACAAATTCTTGTAGTTAATCCTTGGTTTTAGTTTCAACATCACTGACAAGGGTGAATATATTTTCAGCTGTAAATCTTCCGTGAATGTCTACGTGGTCTCTGCAGTTCACTCCGCACTCCTGGAAAAGTTGAGACAAGCCAACTAATTATACTCAATGCATTTACCAACGAGCACTTTATTAGAGGGGTAACTAAAAAGTTTCGTTTATGAACAATAAATCTGTTTTTTGTAATACTCTAGTACACTGAGATTTGTCCCTATGTCGTCTGATCAATTATGGACTAGCTGGTTGGCAGGTTTTGTTTCAGACGCATAGTGTAAGTTTAGTAAGTCAAGCATTCATGTACTCGGCTCGGAAACGGCTAATTCTTATTAGTGTACAATGGAAGATAACTATCGAAGAGTTAAGAATAGTTTCATATGGTAGTCATTATTTCAAATAAATTAGTTTTCAACTTACCGCTCCAAAAAATGTTTGCATCCAATTTTGGTTCATGACACAAAGACTCGTGTCTGAGACGCAGTTTTTAATTATGAGCTTCGCACCAGTCTGAAAACAGTTATGAAACTGAACTGAATAAAAACCTTTTCCTTTCCATCTACATCTAATATTTAAACGGCTCCAGAAATATTGAAACTTATCTAGATTTTAGGATCAAAGCAAGCCAAGCTAGAATTCTTTCAAAGAATTTTGATAAAACATTCTTTGTTCAAGGTATTTTTGCTAGAAAAATTCTAACTTCTTTTGAACATTTTAGAGATAGGCAGGTCCTGTAATTAAATTCTTCTTTGACTACTATTTACCCGACTGCCAAAGAAGGAGGGTAATGTTTTTCGAGTGTATGTAAGTATGTATGTATGTCTGTTCCTTTGTGACCTCCTGTAGCCTAAACGGCTTGATGGATTTTGATGTATGAGGTATCGTTAGATTTGTCTTGATTACGGGAGTGTCATAGGATACATTTTATCCTAAAAGTCCCACGGGATAAAGACATAATAATATTTTTTCTAAATTTCCCTTTAAAAAAATATGTATGCGGTATCATTAGATTCATTTCAATCACGGGAGTAATTAATATAGGATACGTTTTTTCTCAAAATTCCCACGGGAACATGTTAATTCTGCGTCAACGCAAAGCAACTCATGCGTTAGCAAGCAAAAAGATAGGGCGTGGCCTGGCATGCGGCGCCAAATGTCGTCGAAATAATTTAAAATGGTACTTACATATACATAGTCTTCTACATCTACAACATTTTTGTTAAATAAAAACAGCTAAAAAGTTATAAATAAAAAAAATATTATTAAAAAAACAAAATACCCGACTGCACACTAAAAAAAGAGTAAAACAAGCCCCACAATACAAATTTACTGAATATAATTTATAAATGTTGATGGAAAGCATCGCAGGCGGGGACCACCTTGACCGCCACCAACGAAAATTCTGCTAAATGGTGCACAACAGAAATGACTATAAATAAGCCTCTGTTGGTCCCCGCCTGCGATGCTTTCCATCAACATTTATAAATTATATTCAGTAAATTTGTATTGTGGGGCTTGTTTTACTCTTTTTTTAGTGTGCAGTCGGGTATTTTGTTTTTTTAATAATATTTTTTTTTTAACACCTCTTTAAATATTGTTATATAATTATTATTGTATAGCGTGGCTTGAAACAAGTCGAGTTCCTCGTCAAAAAGAAAATTTTTAACATTTATTATTTTTAACAGGAGTCATCCGTTCTAGGTAGGACCTTTTGCGTATTTTAACAAATTTTATATTATGTAAACCATTTAAACTTCATACCGCCAACTAGATGAAATAGGTAATATAAAATTTAAAAAGGTGGCAGGCAGCAGTTATGAGAAACTTGAAGATCAAGATTAGTGATCGCTGTTGGAGAGGTCTTTATCCATCAGTGGACAAAATACTGGTGACGGTGATAAAGACTAGTAAGTTTTACCTTTACTGGAGTACCCAATCCTTCGAGTCTGTCGCATGGTAACAGCGGTGTGGTAGTGAAACGACAGTTGCTATCTTTGACGGCACTCAGACGCAACGGCATACGGTCTGCTGGAGCAGGCGTGCAAGACGGGGTATACCGGACGTATAGAGGAGCTGCCTGAAGAACAAATAACAAAGGTTATTCCCGAAAGTCAAGAGCAGGGTGTACAAAATAAAATATAACTACGGAAGCTTGTCTATGAAAAATGTATAAGTATATTTATTTACATGGGGCATTTATTGTCAGGGAAAAATCATCAAATGACTTCTCCCGCTCAGGTTGAGGCGAGAGGAAGTGTCAGACTCTTGCTGACTAAAAACCCCCGTTTCTTCTCCTGCTCTAGGCAGAGGCCGCTGTGCCTCATTGCGCTTACCTCGCAACCCCGGCTATTTACATAGGGCTGGTTCCACAATGTCATGATAGCCGCCATGTTTCAGATAAATTTGAATATAAATAAACTCCAAATGATCGAAGCGTAATGTTTTATAATCTTCATCGATAAATGGACTAACAAACACAAACATAAATTATTCAATTCAAACCAGAAGTTCTGGAGCTCTTCAATATTAGTACAGTACCTATAGGTGGATGTTGAAACCGACAGTTAACCTTACCTTATACGTAAATAAAAAGCTACTTTATTTTGTTAGATTCTGGATTCAATTTTATATACCTATATGTGCACAAATAGTTCAATGGTGAGATCAAATAGTAGATTACCAATACTACTTATTACGAGAGCAATTAATACAATGGTTCAATGTAAACCTAGTAATCACTTCATGATTATCTATGGCTTATAGTTTATACATACTGTGCTAAGGATATCAACATGTGTTTTGACGCTAATGTTAATTCCTTATGTTAATAGCGTATTTCTAATTACTAAACCATTCTGTTCACCCAATATAATATCCGATGCTAGAATCATCTTCACAGTGATGAATTCCTATATTGACACACACACACCGATTCTTAATTCTGTCTGTGTATGAATAGGCATATTATTCTATAATAAGAGATATTTGTAAGTTTGTATGTAGAGGGTAATCTTCCGAACATCCTGTCGAATCTTTTATTGTTTAAAAAAACGTAGTATTTAAAAAACGAATGCAACAAAAAGAAAAATAAAAGGACCTAAAAAGCGATTTTAAGAGATCTAAATTTAACCTTAGAAGCGTTCTCATAAGACTTTTTATCTACATACCTATTATACTTAAATAAGTTTAATGGTGTTTTTTTAAGATTAGTAGGTACTAATAAAAACTGTTTTAAAGTACAATAAAATTAAACTAACGGTAGGATCGCCATAATTCTCAGCCCTTAGTAGAAACTCATCGCCATATTTCATTTTCTTCCCACGAATATTTTCGTCCTTTGCGCTGTAAAAGAAATCTTTGAAAGAGTGTCATAAAGACAATTAAAACTCGGTTCACGATAAAAACATTGCCAAATTATTACATATAGGGGCCTTAAAAGCACGTTGCTCCGCACTAGGGTTTTCTCCTATGTTGTAGGTGCGCTTACAAGCGTACAATTTTACATTTTCACGCCCATACTCGGAACAACAACAACAATCCCTAAACAGTTGTTCCGTGCGGGAATTAGATCGCGCGACCATTTGCACCACAGCCAGTTGCCCAGCCACAGTGTTCGCAGTGCAGTCAAAAATGTTGTCTATCATACCTGGTTTTTATGGATTATTATAACCAGACACATAGAGCTGTTCAATATTGATACAAAATTTTCCCACACACAAACCTTCCTATTCACTTCACTCACAAATATAACCACTCTATGTATTAAAATAACCGCATTAAAATCATGTGTTTAGTTTTAATGATATAGCATGAGTACATATCGACATAGGCACAATAAAAACAACTTTTATTTTATACTCTGTAGTTCATAAGTTCGGAATTCAAATTTTCAAACCTGATAATAACAAACGTGTTCCGGCAACAAGGTGTGGTGATAGGCGAAAGGGTCATAAGACAGCCATCAGTTATATTCTGCATGTAGTCCACCTGACGATCCATCACAAGAATCGACATTGCCAAGCCATAATTCTGCTTACCGCCTACCATTTTCGGTGAAGCTAATAAAATTGCAAGAATTATAGAGATAAATGTAATATTTGGTCGAGTGCCAAATTTTAATCAGAATTTCGATGTAAATAATATTGAAAATTTCGATAGTCCTCTGTAATAGACAGTCTGGAATTGCATCTGGTTTACTTTTCTAAGGGAGATTCCCGGCACAACCTACCAGATCTGCTGTAACTTCTTTAAGCCGGGACCTAAAGTAGCTACAACCAAAACTCTGACGTCTGGCGTGTCCTAGGGAGATGAACAACTGTCGTGGGTGCGTTCACTAATAAAGAATTCCATATACACATTAAACCCAGACCCGGAATAACAATTTGTGGACATACGAAGAATTTGCACAAAACAATAACTGTGAAGATGAAATCCGAGCGGGACTCGAGCCCGCGACGCGTTATATAGCAGCCCATTACCCAAACACTGCGCTAACCGTGCAGTCACTAAAATCACAACTATAATGTACAGACCTGGCATATCCGACGCAACCACTTGCACATTAAATCCATACAGTACGTTAGTTCCACTAATCGCCATAGGTCTCTGAAAATTACATTTTTTTTTTATAAAACTAAGTATAGATACACTTATAAGCAACCAAATCTTATTTACCTATACCTATTGCAGAATACTTATACGAAATTCTTATCAATATCACGAAATCTCGGCAAGAATAATGAATTGCGATTCTTCTTACACAGGATCTCCGTCAAGTTTCTATCCATCTGTGGTCGTAGTTTTAAATACTGATAAATTATTATAACATAAACATTACTGATATTATAATACAAGATCCAGTGCACACTGAAAAATAACTTTACTTTTCTGATCATTAGAGCAAAGTTAACGGTAAAGGGAAAAATCGCGAGAAGACCTGGACTTATACTTTCGGATTACAAGGTTAAAATCGCCAAACCGCCTTGAGCAAGCATGGTGATTAATGCTCAAACCTTCTCCGTGTGAGAAAAGGCCTTTGCTAAGCAATAATCAGTTAAAGGCTGATGATACGTGGGTGTAATTTAAAGTTAAATAATGGTACCTCACGCAATAAATTACTGAACAATGTTCTTGATCGTTGAAGTAACAGTTCACGTCTGTCGCGTTTCCTTAAGAATAGTTTGAATTCGTACTGCAAGAAACAAAAGACGGTGGATACTCTAGGTTATCTGTCACTCACTCCTTATAAAATATCATAACTGGTGAGAATTTGGTGTTTATAATTATTTCTTACACCACACCAAAAGGCGTTACCTTATAATTATATTTATCTCTAGCTAAGAAGAACCACTTTTGTTGATTGGTACAATCATAAAAGTGAGTGAGTTTAAGAGTGGGAGAGCCATGGTTCGGCACGAATGGGTCGGATCGACCGGATTGATACCACGGCCTCATAGAACTGGCGTGAAACAACGACAGCGTTGTGTTTCGCTGTATGAGTGAGGTTACCGGAGGCCCAATCCTTCCCCTCCCCGATCCCTCCCCAATCCCTAAATCTCCAATGCGGTGGAGGGCGCTGACTGCTTACCATCAGGTAATCCGTCAGCTCGTTTGCCGACATATGTATTACATAAAAAAAAGGATTTCTCCCGCTCTAAGTGGGAGTGTCCGACTCTTGTGTGTTTTTCTTATTATTTATATTATTGCGCTTGGACGCGCAATGCCGGTTAGAAGTTGGCCCTATAATTTTTATAGTGGGCATTCTAAGGTAGTTCCGAAAATATTGAATAAAGGCAAGAAATTTTAACAGTTTCATAGAATGATTTATATAGGTAGTAACTTACTTATACTACACTCGTTACCACCATTTACGGTCTTTCATTATTATTGCAGTAGTACCTACCTAGCACGGAAGCAAAAACACTCGACATAAGTGTTGTAATTGTTAAAGATGTTATGGCAAAACCCTGGTTCAGAAGCACGCTTGTAGCCTGAAATAGTGATTGTGGTTAAACATTTCGATACCTCATTTTTAAGTCTTTCTTCACTCCAGTTTCCAATAAGAACAGAATTATTGTAAGTCATAACGACCACAGGAACCAAATTACAATATGCAGCAGCAAATACTAAGCAGATATTATTATCCTAATTTATTATTATTTTAGTATATTGTGTATTGAAGATTTTCAATGTCAACAAAAACCCAACCAATTATGTCAGTAAAATACGTGACCAAAAAGTTTACCAACCAAACACAAAGTTTAAAAGACTTGCAATAATTTTGATTTGTGTACTAAAAATCCTCATACTCGAATCATAAATAACTAAAAGTAGAGCGAAAAAGTTGAAACTTTGACTTGGCACAATTAAAAATAAAACATTGTCAAAAGTTCAAAAGTTCATCACCACTTGCACTGATTAAAACTTTTAATTTCAATGTGAATTTTAAGTTCGACATTTTCTTAGTTTTTACTATCTCAATATTAATTCAGTGAATATTGTTATGTTTTAAACAGTCCTAACATACAAAATAATTTACTTTGAAAATACATACAAATGGAGCGTAAACATATCATATTTTACTTCCTGATATTAATGTGTCTTTGCGATTTTAAACATGCTGACTGCCTCAAACCTGCGTCTCTTGAAAAAACTTTCCATGAAGGAGTGATGGCCTACTCAACGGAGAGATGGACGTTGTGCATTGAAAAATTTGAAGAAGCTTTGCATCTTTATAAGCTTTACAAATCTATCCTGATTAACTGTAGATTAAAGTGTAACACGGAACCTTACGAATCTCAAATCAAAGAAAATATAGACGATCTTAAGATGTATGAGAAATATTTCAATAAAAGGAATTGTTTGAATATTTGTCAGGTAAAAGAATTCCACAACATGAATTTGAACCAAAGTTTGGAAGACTCTGTGCTCCATGATATGCAGGCCAAGAAACCTTACGAATATCTTCATATATGCTATTTTCAACAAAGGATGTTCCAGAAAGCTGCTTCAGCTGCCTATACATACCTAGTTTCCAACCCTAATGATGACACCATGCAAGATAATATGCACTATTACATAGCACAGCCAGAAATAGACCCGAAGGAGATAGTTGATATGGAAAGTGAGGACTATGTTGTTATGTACAATTTAGGAAAGAAATCTTACAAACAAAATAACTGGGAAGAAACAGTAGCTAGCATGGAAGAAGTCATAAAAGATTATATTTCTTATGAAAGCAATTGTCGTGTTGAATGTGAGCGGCAACCTGGTCAAGAGTGGTCTTCAGAATTTGTAATAACTATGTCAAACAACATAGCATCCCTCTTACATTGCCATCAACAATGCCAAGATAAACTGAAGTTCCTTAAGTACAACTCTGGAGTAGAGTTCATTGCAGATGTGCTTAATTATATACAAGTAGCATATTTCCACCTTGAAAAGTACAATAAAGCTGCAGAGGCTGTTGCAACTTATTTGGTTTTAATGCCTGAAGATGAGGATATGTTGGAGAATGTCAAATTTTATAGAAAACATGTTGACGACAAGGCTTTTGTACCCCGAGCTGAAATAGTGCACTATTTAAAACGTGATACATATGAAAAGAACCTTCTCTTATTTTTTCATCAAGGGAAGAAGCAAGATATTGACTTTGACGCTATTCTCAAAACTTATAATTTTTTAAAATAGGCCTTTTCTGATTTGATTCGAAAACATTTTATACTACCTAGAGTTTGTATGTTCCTAGACTTAAATTTTAATTAACTATAAGTAATACTACTAAGTTGTAATTATTATGTACTCAAAGAGTACTTAAGTACAAGTAAGTGTACTTAAACAAAAAAAATCCTAATAGGACTAACAAGCAGTAAAAATAACTATTTACAAGTGCCATAACAGTTGCTGTTGTAAAGCCAAAGATTTTGTATGTTTTATTAAAGTTTTTTACAAATATGGTTTATTTTTTTACTAAACACTCCAGTATACTTCTGTCCTTATTCCTTGTCCCCAGTTTACATTGTACTTAGATATGTTTTGACTATATTTAAATGAATGTCACCATTTTCAATACAGTTTATTAACTTGGTCTACAGTGTCTTGTTATGTTCTAGGGTCTAAATTGATAATGCTATACAAAACTCTCCTTACGTCGCATCATTATAAAATAATAGCTAGAATCAGGTACTAAGCTAGTAAAATAGCTGCAACTTAGTGGCCATGACGCTCTCCTACGCATATTATTATCATTGTTCATGCGATAATTCGAGCAGAGTATGTGAATGTCCAGTGTTGAGTATCAAATGTTAGATACATATTATGAAACTTGCTTATCTAATGGAGTTTGGTAAATGGTAACACAAGCTTGTGGGTATTTAATTAATTACTTATTAACTAATGACTTCTGGCTACTGGCTAAAAACTACCCCGTTCCTTTTCCTACTCCGAGCAGGGGCCGCGGTACGTTATTATGATTGTACAGGCTTGCACTCGCAACTCCGTATTCTCAGTAATTTGAGATGTTCTCTAGTGTAGATTCTCATGGGTGGCGGTGAATTCTTATCATCCGGTGACCTATCTCCTCCATTAGCAGAAAAAAAGAATTGAACTATTGAAAAGAACAAAAAAATATGTCGGTAGGCAACTTAGAAAATTGTAGGTGCTGCCATCTAGTAAACAACTGCCCAACTTTTTATACTGAAAAGTTTATTTTACATACTTGCTATAAAGTTACAAATAATACTTACTATTATAGGTACCAATAGCCAGAAAAGTCCGCGGCTGAATTATCGGCTTCCTCTTCCTTACCCTCTCCATACATAATAAAGTTGCGAGGGCGCAGAATAACTTCAGGTTTAGGTAGTTGCTGCCTGATCCTAGCCAAATGATAGAAAACTGGCTGTTTAATGAAAAACTGACCATCCACTTACCCACGCGTTTCCTAGTGGTAAACGGCTTCCATAAATAGCACCGGGCGGACAACGTTACATTTTGCCATAAAATTGTAGTTCCTAGTTTTCAATTAACTATGTAGGTATGTTAATAAACTACTAAACTAAAATTGGGTAGGTTCCTAACGGTTATCGCCCATCTAGTTAATGCAGGTGTGTGGATTAGACAATATACTGGTGAAGTCAATGCATGGGGTCGCTAAATCAAGGCGTGGTAATGGTAATGATGTGTGATGTACAAAACGTTCGTTGGTACCTATCATTTTTCATTTTGTGACTACACAAACAGGAAGAATAGATTTCAGTACCTACTTTATTAAAACAACTGTTAAATTTAACGCGATTGAGGAAACGGGGAGAAGGTTGATCCGAATAAAATCCCGGTATACTGCACAGGACTCAAAATATTGTGAAAAGAAAAAATATTCCTAATGCCCAATAAAATTATGAATACGGACATGTTTGTAAATTTCAATATCTGATACTCTAAAGATCAAAAAATTTAAAAACCTTTTTGAACGCAAGCAGTGTGCCCTACATAAAAAATCTAAATTTCGGATAGCAATACCACTCTTTATGGTCCTTGCAATGTTCCCTAGAACTTTTGTCACTTTTAGAGCAATTAAATTCTGCGCCAGACCTACAGTTATACAAGATAGATTGATGAAATGATGAATAATTCTATAACAAAAGATGAACGTTCTTATAATAAAGCGCTTGAAGGTTGGTTATAAACATGACAGCTCGAGGTCGTAATTCAAGCCATTTATTCAAGTCGTTAATCCACTATAAAATGTTCTATTTACATTATTACCAAGTATTATAAATCAAACATTAACAAATGTAGTTTCAACCATTTATTCTCAACACTAGGTCTTATTACACCTGTTTACACTGAGCACGTTCCAATCCACTATTGACAATAATATTCAGACGTCTTTACTGCACGAAGGTAAAAGTCCAACAACCCGCTCCAGCTATGTCTGTCGAGCTAAAATAATTATCCCCACTCCAACAGGAAATTGTGGGTAATAACCAATCGGAATGCAGTAACGACGTCTTTAACAAATTCACAACTTCTTAAATTATTAATTCCATTAATTTAATATTTCGTAACAAAATCAACTATTTTAATGAAATACAGTATTTAATTATTTAATTAACAATATAATCTTAAATAATACTTATATTGACTAACAGTGTGACAAAGACTACTAGCGCCATCTGGTTTTGGTTCTAGTACCGACTATAGTTATGCTATTTTATACTATTATATTCCTAAAATCATTACATTCGGCCATCCGTCATCGTGCGGTCACCTGACGCACGAATTATTCACCTCAACAAGTAATAGACTAGTTGTCTACTGAACATAGGAAATCAGTCGATGTATATAAAAAAATAGAGAAACAAAGTATAACAATTAAAATACCTATAACTATAGTGATTAAAGTAACCGAATTCTGGTTTCACAAACAATTTAATTTAACAACTAGCATTCATCATTCAAAATCATTTCAATATACTTTATATAAAAAAATATATTAGAATCATTAAAAAAAATGCGTATAAATTATGATAAAAATAAAGATTTATAAATACTGAGCAACTGCACTATTCATGGCGTTATACATGGCTGTCTACCCATCAGTTAGACCATTTATACCTTAAATCATTACATTCGGCTAATCATGATCAGATTGAGATTCATTTCTCTCATCTTGATAATTGTCGTCATTATTACTTTCGCTTTCTGACGATGAACTACTGCTATTATTAGAATGATGATGATCATTAGCGCCAGAAGAACTTATATTTATCCAAGGTCTGATACGGTCAGCTGAGACTACGCTTTCAAATTTATTTTTGCGTTTACTAAAACCTGGAATTTCTCCTATTGTATACCTATCTTTACCTAAAACTTTTAAAATTTTGTACGGACCTATAAATTTTGACATCAGTTTAGTACTGTTACCCTTATTATTGAAATTAGTTCTCGTGATTTTAATTAAATCACCTTCTTTATAAGATTTAGCAGGTGCTCTACTAGAATCATAATTCAATTTTTGCTTCTCTTGGCTTGTTTGGATATTATTACTGACCTCGTCCCTCAAACTTTGCAAAGTGTCTGGGAGGGGGTCAGCAACAACATCCAACTTATTGCTTAGACCATCACGAAATCTTGCACCGAATAGCGCTTCAGTAGCCGTCTTTTGAGTAGTCGAATTTACAGAGTTATTGATACCCCATTGAATTTTTCCCAAAAACGCGTCCCAGTTGCGCTCGTCATTTCCGTCATTATGTTTTGCCAGAGCATTCAAGATAGTCTGATTGTACCTCTCTGCCTGACCGTTAGCTCTGGGACATGCGACTGCATTAAGAACATGTTTGATACCATGGATTTCGCAAAAGCTCTTGAAAGCCGACGAAGTAAAAGAGGTACCACGATCGGATATTATTCTTGATGGTAAGCCAAAATCGTAAAATATATTTTCAAGAACTTTTAGCGTAGTCCTGGTTTTAGTATCCTTTACTGCTTTAACAAATAGATATTTTGTAAATCCGTCAACTATTGTTAGAATGTAAGCATTACCATTCTTACTTTTTACAAATGGACCAAGATGATCAACGTGGATTGTGTGAAATGGAATGCTTATTTTCTCTATAGGATATAATTGACCCGTTTTTTGCCTAGCAGCATCATCTTTGTTATAAGCACACTGGATACAAGACTTTATATATTTTTTGACGAACCGTCGTAATTTAGGGAACCAATAGACTGATTGAATCTTCTCAACAGTTTTTGATATACCTAAATGACCGGCTTCGTCATGATTTGAACGACATATTTGCCATCGAGCAACTCGTGGGATAACTAAACGTAAATTGTCTCCAACTTTTCTGTAAAGCCTATGGTTTTTGAGTAAATAGTTTTTCTTAATGTCTTTAACATCCTCGCTTATTTCTGGTCTAAGTATCTTAACGATACGTGAAATATCGGGATCTGACATTTGTAGTGTTAGTAACCAATTATCTGTCTCGATGCTATACACGGTTAGGGGGGATTCATTGGTATCATCAGCGGATAATACGGTATTACGGCTTAATGCATCTACATGAGCCATACGGGTCCCAGGACGGTATTCAATACTGAAAGTAAACTCACTTATCTGGAGCCACCACCTAGCTATACGAGGTACAAGGTCACGTTTTGTAAGTGTAGTCCGGAGGGCATGACAGTCTGTTACTACCTTAAATTTTAAACCCAGGAGATACACGCGAAATTTCTTTAAAGAACACACTATGGCTAGAGTTTCGAGCTCATAGGAATGTAAGTGACGTTCTTCGGGTGTTGTCTGCCGGCTGAAATAGGCGACTGGCTTAAGTGCCCGAGGATTAGTCTGCCATTGTAATAAGATCCCGCCTATACCTAAAGCACTAGCATCTGTATGTAACTCTGTGTCAAAGTTAGGATTATACAGTGCAAGGATGGGTCTACTCAACAAACTTTCTTTAAGCAAAGAGAACGCGCGAGATTCAACTTCGGACCAAGCGAAATTATTACCTTTCTTTAGTAAGTTTGTGAGGGGTCGTGCAATTTCGCCAAAGCCTTTAACAAATCTGCGAAAGTATCCGGCTAGTCCCAAAAACTGTCTAACCTCATGGACATTAATGGGCACAGGGAATTCCTTCACAGCTAGGACTTTAGCTTCATTTGGTCGTATGCCTACAGCTGATATTTCATAGCCAAGATAACTGATAGAAGTATCAAAGAAACGGCATTTAGACAACTTAAGAGTCAGCCCGTTTTCTCGTAACAGATTCAAAACATCTTTCAGCCTCTGGAAACCTTGCTCCAGGTTAGCCGATGGCACAAGGATGTCATCTAGATAAGCTAAGGCAGAATCATAGCGCTTTGCACCTAACATTCGATTAATGACTCTTTGAAAAACAGCCGGT